GAAAATAATAAAATATGTTAGTGGAGAAGGTGGTAAATAAAATATAATTTAGAATAGTGATGGAATAAATAAAAGTTAGTAAGAGAAATTAATATAAAAGTGGGGTGGAAAGGTAGATGGAGAAAAATGGATGAAAGAAATAAGAGTAGGAATAATTTTGGCCTTGTATTTTGGCAAAGTAGTCTAAGATTTTTTTGGGCTTTGTATTATGAACCAAATAATGTAAGATTTATTTTGGGTCTCATATTTTAGGTCAAGTAGTGTAGGGTGTTTGAACAACTTGGGTTAACAAGGTCAAGGCTCAATGTTGACCCAAAGTGGACGTCCATAGTAAGTGTTGACCAAGTGGTTAAAGTTTTTAATCTAGCTTGGGGGATAAGAGTGTAGGATGTCCCACTTATGTGAGTATGACTATGTGTCATGCTCTCATTGGACAGGATTTCCCATAAGTTAGTGGTCACATCTCACTCTAGGAATGGAGAAGATTTTCCATAAGTAGTGGCCACATGTCCTCCTCTTATTATAGAGAATTTTTGCCTTGGTCTCCAAGTTAGGTCAAGCTAGTGTTTTTAGGGTTTGCTTAGAAGCTTGCACCATTGATCTTTATACTAGTTAAGATAAAAGATTCTACGTCCAATTGTTAATCTCTCTAAAATAAATATAACTAATAACTAAAATAAAACAACATCTTACAATAATGAAGTAGAGTAAAGGTTTATAATACACATCTCTTGACAAACAAAAGATGAACAACATTTCCTTTTGACCCAAAAAAAGATGAACTAGCTTGACTTTGCTCAGTAGATATGCTTCATCACTTAGACACATTAAGACAAATACTTCCTTCTACAAGCACCAAGTTCACAAGCTCATTTAAACACATAGAGATTTCTAACAATGCTCTTTATTCTCTAACAATTTTTTAAGCAACTACAAAGACCTCATAAACGAAGTATTTATACGCATGGTTCAAAAATATGTCAGAAGATCAAAGGTATTCTCCTAACTACCGCAAATAATCAATTATCCCAAGTGATAATCGATTATCTGCAAACCTTAACAAATCATGTTTTTTGAGGATAACCGATTATCCCTGAAGATAATCGATTATCTGCGAATAAAAAATGTTTCTAATTTTTCCTGGGATAATCAATTATCCCAAGTGATAATCGATTATTTTGGTGAGTTTTCTGAAATAATGCATTTCTAGATCCCTATGTGTATCTAGCTATTCTAATAACTTAACTATTACAAATGGTGTACTATAAAAGCTTTATTTTACATCAATCTAAAGAGTAGTGGTTGTTTCCAGTTTTTGAGTACTTTATCGTCAAAATCCTTTAAGGTTTACAACCTTAAACCCTAAGCCATGTGATTGTAAGTTCTCGGTTATTTTTATTGTTTAGTTAATCCCTCTTTATAGAAATTAACAACTGGATTTATGGTCTTTTGATCCGAACCAATATAAAATACTTTTATTGTAATTTCTTTTTTTCCCTACACTCTTTATCTTTATTATTGTTAATTATAAAAAAATGATTTTATTTATAAAATTAGTTTAGAAAAAGGGATAATTTTATTAAGCAAATCAATTCACCCTCTCTTGTTTTTGTCTATTGATTAAATGTTCTATAGTACGTATTCTAACAAAAACGACATCAATCCATCAAAACTAAGGAAGTATCCCAACCAAGGCAACATAAACACTTTTGCAATAGGTAAGTGACATAAAACTAACATTTGTTCTTCCTCGCACTCGTCAACAAGATGTTTGTTTAAGTAGAAGAGAAAGTGCGAAGAAACAGTGTGCGTGGTTTCCATTTTACAAAATTTTAACAGGCTATATGACGTTGGAAAACGTAGAATCCAACATCTTATGAGTCTAGGTTATCAGACGTCTATGTGAGTAAATTTTCCACCTACACACCAAACATTTTAATGAATTCACCAAATTTACAAGACATATAACGTCAAAAATTTGAATGTACAATGTTAAATGACGTTAGAAAATGAGATTTTTGACATCTAGTTCGTATTTTGACAACCCAAGGATAATTTTTGTTCAGGTTGAAATGATTGCATGCAACTATATAACGTTGAAAAACTGGATTTCCAACGTCAATTGACATTGAAAAATGAAACTTTCGACGTCAAATGAGCATTTGACATCGAAACAAATGAGAGTTTTTGACATTGAACGGGAGACGTGGAAGACTTATTTCGCACTGGTGTAATTAGCTTCCCTTACTGATAGATAGTCCGAACACTTGAGAAAACCTACAAATAGCTCCAAACAAACAAGAAACCTTATTTTCTCCCATAAACAAACACAATCACAATCAGGACACGCCATTATGTTTAATAAACAGAGACTAACAGAAAAAATTCAAACAATACAGGTGAACCAAAAAGTGGTACATGCAAAGGAAGGAGGAATAGAAAACCAACTTTATTGAAGAAATTGATCAAACAAAAATAGATAATTCGTTACGAGAATCACCCTAACAATTATTAGAAAGTGGTTTTAAGTCTAACTCAACCCCACAAAACCGACTTGTATGATGAGGTTTGCACCACACTTATATATTGTAATTTGACTTTATCTCTTAGTCGATGTGAGACTTCCAACAACAATCTTCAATCTTCAAATAAATGAACAAATGTTGAGAGTACCTAAAAAAAGAAAAAAAGTTCAATTTTTTTTAAATTATGTATTTTAAAATAGTAAAACTTATTCATAAAAAAATTATTTTATATTTAAACTTTAAATATTAAAATAATAGAATTTTATTATTCTAAATACATTCTTTAAACAAAATGTTTTAGACTTTTACATTATTATATTACAAAGAAAAGAAAATGGTTCAAATAGCCCCGAAATAATATGAGACATCAAAAGTAATCTCAATTTAGATTTCTTAAGTAATGTTTCAATTTGATCGGAAAAAACATATTAGATATTAAATGATGTGAAATACAAATTTTATATTACAAACTTTAAGTTGGATGTAAATTAATTTATTAAAATAATATAAATATTTATTATAGTGATATTTGTTCAAAGTTAGAGTCATTAATATTAAATTCTTGTTAATTTTACGTTCGAAATATTTATTTTTTAAAAAATAATTAAAGATTATACATTTTCAAAATATAACCAAATAATAATGATAGATGGGTAAATAAAATTTTTATTTTATAAAATAATTATCTTGAGTTATATATACATAATGAGAAAAAAAAACTTGAACATAATGATTAATTTGATGGATTCGATGGAAAGAGAAGATTTAGCTTTTGGGACAGACAGCTCTGTGGTGGCGGTGCTGTCTCTTCAAAGAAGTAAACCGTCGTAACAGCCAACCTTAGATTCTCTTCCTACCTATTTTGAATTCCCATAATAATTGAAAATAATGATAATAATAATTTCTTCACTTAATTTCTTTTTATATATTCAATTAATTTAATTCCTCACTAGTAATAATTGCAAGAACTTCATACGCAAATCCCCTCTTATATACATTTACCTTATTCTCTGCAAGCTAACAATTTGTTCACAACCTTAAAAAACAGTACCCCACATGCGAATTTCACAATCATCATATTCCAAAAAAGGTTAAAGTTAAGAAAAAAAAGAGAAAAAGTAAGACAATTGGCACTTGATCTTCTGTGAAATCAAATGCTGAAGCTCTTTAGGGCCTATCAGTGTTTCCTAGCCTTCTTCCTCGTCATCTCTATCGTTGTGTCCGTCTTCACAGGTGCTAACTCTCACCCCATAAGATCAAACTCCCCAAAGTTTTCATTTTTGGAAGGTTTTCACTCTTCTTGAGTTTCAATTGTGTTTCTTCGAGTTGTGGGTTTTGTTGTTGTGCCTTAATTCAGATCTGAGACTAGTTTAAGTTGTATCGCGATTCAGTTGGATGTTGAAGCAGTTCTTGTTTTTTGTGCTTAATTATGATATCCATAATGTTTATGCTTGCTTAAGAGGAAAAAACGATGGGAGCAATGGACAGTAATTTTAATTTCATAGTTCACAGTCTCATTTCATCATTTCCTGTTTTTTGCCTCTTCTTGACTATAAACTTTTTCTTTTCTTTTTTTCTTTCTTCGATTAGTAAGGGTCATACAGATTGTAGTTTTGGCTTATTTTCTTCAATGCATTTTTTTTTATGAAACCGAAACTGAGTCATGTATTCTGAATTTTCGGCCTCTTGATTTTTTATTTTTTTTGCAGGTAGTTCATGACATACCCCTTCAGACTTCGATTGCTATTGTGACATGATGACATTTTTCACTTTGGACTGAGGTTAATTTTCTTGAAGGTGATTTGATATTGTTTCAAATTATGAGTGTCTAATTGCAGATTTTTTCTGTGTTTTTTCAGTCACTGTCCATTTTTCTGCGGATATGTTGTATATGATGATATGATGGTTAACGGTCTGATTGATATGAATCTCTAATTTTTGCTTTGTACTTGTTTAAAGACTAACTTTTGACGAAAACTATGTGATACTGGCTTCTCAAAGATCTAAGAGATACTCTACATTCTATCATGTTATTCATACAGCAACAACAACAAGCCAAGCTTTTATTCCACTGCAAGATATCAAATGACACATAATCTTCTGTTGTAAATTACATATATGGACAAACCATTGGCCTCTAAATTCTTCAGAATGGTTTTGACTAGAGTTTTTCTGCTCTTCTGTCTACCTATTCATAGGGAAACATAGTTGGTTCACCATTTTGTCTTCAACTGTTGTTATTCATTATTTAAAGCCATCCTTTTATTTTTTTTTTGTCTTTACATTTGTGTTTGTGTGTCTTAAATCTGAATTTTACGGTATCCTTTGGAATTTCTATCAGACTGCCTTGTTTGTTTTTCTCTAGCAATAGCTGGTAAATTGTCAAACTTTGGTAACTCTTTGTTGCCTGTTTGCCCCTGCTTCTGAAATACCTTTAACGTTTTATATTATATGTATTTTTAGATTAAAATCTAGAAAAAGAGATGGCAGCTGAGCTAGTCAATGGTGCAACAAGCGAGAAACTAGCTGAAACTGATTGGGCAAAAAATATTGAAATCTGTGAGCTAGTTGCTCATGATAGAAGGTAACCAAAATGCTTTTATAACCTTATTTAATGTTGTTTGTTTCTGATTGAACAATGTGAATGAACAGTTGGTGCCAATGGTACAGTTGGTGCCAATGGTAAACTCATTTAAATTTGTTAATATATAACCTTTTATGTTTCAGATTTTGACTAAGGAAACTTTGTGAATGTGTATTTTTTCTTTCTTTGCTTAGGAAACGAACCTATGATCTTTACCATTGCCACCTGAGCTTTACCAAGTAGCTAACTGTGTGTTTGATGTTGGAGGATAATCCTTATGAATGATCATTTTTTGGTCTTGGTGAAATTGATTGCTGGGTTCTTAGGAATGAGTTATTTTTCATTCTAGGTGCACCTTTTTTTATTTGATTTTTTTTTTCTCAAAAGGAAAAGTTGTAACCCTTCAATTAATTGGCTAATGACTGATATCTTACGCCCTCCATAGTTAGTGTGTGGTTACAATACATTGTGTTCAAAGTATCTGTTAAAAAACTAAATGTCTATGTAAGAATGAAGAAAACAAATAGTTAGTTGGTTGGTTAGGAGGTTATAGTCTTCCTAATAAGAAGACTATATATAGGTGGGTTTGGGTTTTTGTTGTTGTGGGGGACGTTTTTTGGTATGTTGAGAGTATAGACAGGATTCTTAGTGTCCTGTGAGAAGGGAAACATCATCCCTTGACAGTGTTCTTGTTGTATGACTGTTGAGAAACGAATAAACGAGACATATACAGTTCCTAGAGGGTCTTTTTTTGTGTTTTCTGTGAGTGAAGACATCTTTGAATCGGTTTCTTCTATCAAGAAACCTAACAGTATCTTATGATTGAAATCTTGTAGAGGTTTTGAAGGAAAAGAAACAACTAAGTCTTAAAGATCAAATGCAAAGGAGCTCTTAATTTACAATTCAAATTAAGTTCATGGTTCTTGTTCACCCTATCTGGGCTTGATCATGTTCACTTGATTATGAACATAGATGAACATGTTGGATTGTCAGGATAATCCATACATTGTTTCTGTTTTTAACAATCACATCTTTTGAATATGCAGGCAGGCTAGAGATGTTGTCAAAGCTATAAAAAAGAGACTAGGAAGTAAACACCCTGATACTCAACTTTATGCTGTCATGGTGAGAATAATTACTTTATCATGCATTTAGTTACTCATTATTTTTTGTGTGAATTTCTAAAAGTTGTAATCTATGCTGAAAAACTTGTATAAACACAGTTTGAAAACATATAGTTTTCACTGTATCCGATACAGAAAATCTTGGTTATTTGACATTTTTGTGTTAAATATTTACATTTCTTGCTTTCCTGTTCTGTAGTGTTCTACGTTACCATCTTTCATCTATTTTGCTTTTCTAGTTGCTGGAAATGTTGATGAACAATATTGGAGAGCATATTCATGAGCAGGTGATTGATTCTGGAGTTATTCCCATTCTAGTAAAAATTGTGAAGAGAAAGGTTAGTGTTCACTGCAAAGACTTCTGTTATCTAGCATTGTCATTCTTTCTTAACCTCTTTTTTATTCTCTCTTGCTCTTTGGTTGCAGTCTGATTTGCCTGTGAGGGAGAGGATATTTCTCCTATTAGATGCCACACAAACATCCCTTGGTGGCGCGTCTGGAAAGTTTCCACAGTACTATAATGCATATTATGAATTGGTGGTAGGTACAAATTTGCGTACAAAACCCTAGGACATTCATATTGTTTTGATCTGGATTCATTTGATTAATAAGCTGTAGTTAGGCTGTTGACTAGGCAAAGAAAGTTTATTTTAACTTTATGATTTTAAAAGCATAAGAAGAAACTAGCAGTAGTTTTTCAATTGGCAGCAATTGAAATTTTACTTGCTTATTGGAAGGGTATTTTTTGTGTTCATTTTTAAACTGGATACATGAGGCAAAGTGATAACTCCCGGTAATTATGGTCAGGTTATAGTTATATGGTAGTAGCATATATAGTTTAGAGTGCATTGTGATGACTAAATGGGAAAGGAACTTTGTGCCATGGTGATATGCCCAAAGGGTCGCAAAAGTACATGTTGGGTTTGTACATCAGGTTCAACCTTGTTGCCCATGTTCTATGGTATAAATGAAATGAGTCTGCATCTAATGCTGGGTGTTATATGTCTGAGAGTTGTGCCTTAGCTAACAACTTAAACTTTTAGTATGGTGGTAAGCACTATTAATCATATCATGTTTGATATGCTTCTACTTATTTCAAGGTTCGTGGGCAAATTATTTCTTAGAGGGAGGGAATGGTATGTGTAGAAGGTAGTACATGCATATGTTTAATTTTGAGTAAAGTTCAATGCCAATATCCATATTCAATAGCTTAAATAAGTACTGGATTGCATCTGATCCAAAGTGTTACATGTCATGATGGTTGAAATCCTAGGTTCAACATGTTTGTAATTATCTCAGTAATTAAACTGTAAAATAATTCTAAAGGGCTTGATTGATCCCCTCTCATAATCTTTTATTTATAAAAATAAATTGACAGAATATAATCATGATAAATAGGGTAACATAGACACAGTATAATCATGATAAATAGGGTAACCCTAGACACAATATAATCATGATAAATAGGGTAAATGTTCTAACACTTCCCTTCAAGCTAGAGCATACAAATTGTATGTGCCAAGCTTGGAATAAATAAACTCAATCCAACCAAATCAACTTGTCTAAAATGGCGAGACAATAGACGTGGTAACTTTGGCTCTGAGCAAGATGCACATATGCTTCATACCGAGAGAGAATGTCTATAAACCAAATTGGACTTACAAACCAGCGTAACTAAAGAGACTCTTCATAAGCTTATGGAGAATAATATTGGACAACCACAAAACTTCATCTAACACCATGAACCTTCAAGTAGGGTGACTTTGACAAAGTTGATTTCCATCAAAAGTGAATGCTGAGTGGTAGACAATGACAAACTGCAAGAGACTGGATTGTCATCAAATAAGGATGGGGCCTGCATGGCTAAAAGTGACAAAAATGTAGGGACTGCTATCTCTGACTAGTTGGGGCCTGCAGTGGCTGAAAGCGACAAAACTACAAGGACTGTCATCTCTGACTAATTGGGGCCTGCAGTGGCTGCAAGCAGGGACTGTCATCTCTGACTAGTTGGGGCCTCTGACTAGTGTTGACTAGTGGCTGGAAACATACTCCCCCTTACTGCAGGGACTAAATTGCCATTGCTGACTGATGGGGCCTGCAGGGACTAAATTGCCATCACTGACTGATAGAGCCTGCAGGGACTAAATTGCCATCAAGTAAGGATGGGGAGTGGACAAAAACTTACTGCAGGGACTAAACTGCCATCATTGACTGATGGGGGTCTGTAGTGACTGAAACATACTCCCCTCGCGGCGAATGACGAAAACTGTGAAGGTGGAATGTCATAATGGTCTCCTTTATTCATCAAAGGTCCACTAGGAACCATGGTTGGATTGTGTTGAGAGCTGTAAGGATCACAAATTTGAGGAACAAAGATTGAGACTTATGATAACATTAAAGGCCAAAGATAGGTTGGAGGTCCAAAGGTTTTGTGCTGGACTCCTCCCAAATGGTGATACTTAGCACTGTATCACAAGAATTATGGGCTAAACTAGACTCGGGCCCAAGGAGAAAGTGACCAATAACGATTGGAGAAAAAAGTGACGAATTGACGTCAAGAGCGGTCTGCTGACTTTGAAATCAGGAACCAAGGATGTATATGGACTCAACATGATTCGATGAGTCAAACAATGATGAAACAGAGATCTGAAGGACTTAGGGTTCCAAAACAACTAAAGGAGAAAACCCTAGCTCTGAGTTATAACCACCAAAACTAAGAAACAAGGTCCAAAATGCACTCAGAAGGCTCCGGCGAGACGAATGGCAGTGTCACAGTGTAATTTCGACACCGAAAAGGTGACGCGTGACAAACAAACGCTGGAAGCTGATCGTAGAGAAGTCGTGTGTGACATTGCATGTGGAGGAGAATGAGGCAATGACAATTAGGGATGGGTCGTGCTCCTCGATGCACACAAAACCCCTAATTTCACTAGAGAAAACAAGACGGTAGAGGCGACGGAGGTTGAACAGATGTGGCGCACGTGACGGTGCTTGGATGAGAACTAGCCCTTGACACAAGCAGGGTTGACCATGGCTCAAGGAGGCAATCCAGATCCATTGGTCGCCAGACTAAACTGTGGCAGTGGTCGGTGGCAGGCATTAGCGAACGGCGTCGGAATGATAGGAAACAGAGGTTGATGGTGACAAACTTATGTGGACAACTCCTCACAGTGGAAAAATAGTGCCAATGGTAAATGGCACCAGACAGCGACAAACGGCACCAGAAAACGACAAACAGTGCCGGAAAATTGCGGACAACAACTAGGGTTTGGATACTAGATAGAAAGCAGAACAGGACTACTCATTGAGGTATTTAAGAAAAGATGAAATTTTTAAGGCCGCCGGTGGCAGTGGCCACGGGCCACCGGCAGCAAAGGCAGAAAAGATTCAGACAACCTGTTCTGATAACAACTTGAGAATTAAACTGTAAAATAATTCTAGAGGGCTTGATTGATCCTCTCATAATCTTCTATTTAAAAAAATAAATTGACACAATATAATCATGATAAATAGGGTAACATAGACACAATATAATCATGATAAATAGGGTAACCTAGACACTATAATCATGATAAATAGGGTAACCTAGACACAATATAATCATGGTAAATAGGGTAACCTAGACACAATATAATCATGATAAATAGGGTAACCCTAGACACAATATAATCATGATAAATATGGTAAATATTCTAACAACAGGTATATGTTTAATTTCGAGTAAAGTTCAATGACAATATCCATATTCAATATAGCTTAAACAAGTACTGGATTGCATTTGATCCAGAGTGTTACATGTCATGATGGTTGAAATCCTAGGTTCAACATGTTTGTAATTATCTCAGTTTGAGGGCGAACCTCGGTCAAGCCTAGGGTCTAGAGTTGCACTTCTATTTGCAGTTTAAGCTTTTGACATGATGGTAAGAACTCTTCGTCGTATCAAAAGGGGCATGATTGATCGTGATATTATAATATATATTCAATCTCAAGGCATGATATGGTGGATAGTAAGCATTTCCAGTGTCACCCATTGCTAATTAACTTCTCTTTATTTGTTTCTTAAAGTATTGACTAATGTCACTTTTCTTGTCGTTTTGTACATAATACAAGTAGTTGCTATAAAAACAATGGTCGCTCGGGAATGTATTTGTTTTTCCAATACCTGGCATTATAATTTATGTGCTCTTTGAACATCACAAAACAAATTCATGACATTGGTTTTATTCTTTTTACAGAGTGCTGGAGTGCAGTTTTCTCAAAGGGATCAAGTGGTCCAATCGAACCATCCTAGTTCACAACCTAGTAGGACTAATAATGTACCAAACAGGGAGCAGGCTGCACCTAGACATGAAGCAGTTGCTCCGCAAGCTGAGTCCCAGACTGTCCCTGAATCTAGGTGACTTTTGCTTCAGTTTTAGTGAAATTGTGATTGATAAGATCTTTAAAAATCCTTCTGTAGATGAATATTTCAAATGATTTATTGTAGCAAGAGGAATTATTTGATTTAGTTATATTGATGGAAACTGGGATAGAAAAAGATTTAGTCAAATATGAGTATTTATGTTAAATGAAATGAATGATGAGAGGTAGTATTTTCAAAATCTTCTTTTGGGTGAATTTATTTCCTTAATGTTTTTTTGATAAGTTCTCTCTGAAACTCTTTGTTATATCTGATAGGAATGAGAAGAGATGGATAGTTTACGAGAGAAGGAAGAAGATTAATTAGATTTAATGATCTAACTGTTTATAACAGTTAGAGAAGGGCGGGAAAAACAATGTATAAATAGTTGTTTGTTTAGTTGGAGGGGGACTTTTGAGACTTTGATTGTTGATTGTGCAGACTATTCTTTGTGAATAATACCAGATTCTTTTCATTCTTCTCGGTATCTTTGTTGTGAGAGGTTGAGAGGGAGTTCTTGATCAGGTTTCTTGATNAAGGATCACAAATTTGAGGAACAAAGATTGAGACTTATGATAACATTAAAGGCCAAAGATAGGTTGGAGGTCCAAAGGTTTTGTGCTGGACTCCTCCCAAATGGTGATACTTAGCACTGTATCACAAGAATTATGGGCTAAACTAGACTCGGGCCCAAGGAGAAAGTGACCAATAACGATTGGAGAAAAAAGTGACGAATTGACGTCAAGAGCGGTCTGCTGACTTTGAAATCAGGAACCAAGGATGTATATGGACTCAACATGATTCGATGAGTCAAACAATGATGAAACAGAGATCTGAAGGACTTAGGGTTCCAAAACAACTAAAGGAGAAAACCCTAGCTCTGAGTTATAACCACCAAAACTAAGAAACAAGGACCAAAATGCACTCAGAAGGCTCCGGCGAGACGAATGGCAGTGTCACAGTGTAATTTCGACACCGAAAAGGTGACGCATGACAAACAAACGCTGGAAGCTGATCGTAGAGAAGTCGTGTGTGACATTGCATGTGGAGGAGAATGAGGCAATGACAATTAGGGATGGGTCGTGCTCCTCGATGCACACAAAACCCCTAATTTCACTAGAGAAAACAAGACGGTAGAGGCGACGGAGGTTGAACAGATGTGGCGCACGTGACGGTGCTTGGATGAGAACTAGCCCTTGACACAAGCAGGGTTGACCATGGCTCAAGGAGGCAATCCAGATCCATTGGTCGCCAGACTAAACTGTGGCAGTGGTCGGTGGCAGGCATTAGCGAACGGCGTCGGAATGATAGGAAACAGAGGTTGATGGTGACAAACTTATGTGGACAACTCCTCACAGTGGAAAAATAGTGCCAATGGTAAATGGCACCAGACAGCGACAAACGGCACCAGAAAACGACAAACAGTGCCGGAAAATTGCGGACAACAACTAGGGTTTGGATACTAGATAGAAAGCAGAACAAGACTACTCATTGAGGTATTTAAGAAAAGATGAAATTTTTAAGGCCGCCGGTGGCAGTGGCCACGGGCCACCGGCAGCAAAGGCAGAAAAGATTCAGACAACCTGTTCTGATAACAACTTGAGAATTAAACTGTAAAATAATTCTAGAGGGCTTGATTGATCCCTCTCATAATCTTCTATTTAAAAAAATAAATTGACACAATATAATCATGATAAATAGGGTAACATAGACACAATATAATCATGATAAATAGGGTAACCTAGACACTATAATCATGATAAATAGGGTAACCTAGACACAATATAATCATGGTAAATAGGGTAACCTAGACACAATATAATCATGATAAATAGGGTAACCCTAGACACAATATAATCATGATAAATATGGTAAATATTCTAACAACAGGTATATGTTTAATTTCGAGTAAAGTTCAATGACAATATCCATATTCAATATAGCTTAAACAAGTACTGGATTGCATTTGATCCAGAGTGTTACATGTCATGATGGTTGAAATCCTAGGTTCAACATGTTTGTAATTATCTCAGTTTGAGGGCGAACCTCGGTCAAGCCTAGGGTCTAGAGTTGCACTTCTATTTGCAGTTTAAGCTTTTGACATGATGGTAAGAACTCTTCGTCGTATCAAAAGGGGCATGATTGATCGTGATATTATAATATATATTCAATCTCAAGGCATGATATGGTGGATAGTAAGCATTTCCAGTGTCACCCATTGCTAATTAACTTCTCTTTATTTGTTTCTTAAAGTATTGACTAATGTCACTTTTCTTGTCGTTTTGTACATAATACAAGTAGTTGCTATAAAAACAATGGTCGCTCGGGAATGTATTTGTTTTTCCAATACCTGGCATTATAATTTATGTGCTCTTTGAACATCACAAAACAAATTCATGACATTGGTTTTATTCTTTTTACAGAGTGCTGGAGTGCAGTTTTCTCAAAGGGATCAAGTGGTCCAATCGAACCATCCTAGTTCACAACCTAGTAGGACTAATAATGTACCAAACAGGGAGCAGGCTGCACCTAGACATGAAGCAGTTGCTCCGCAAGCTGAGTCCCAGACTGTCCCTGAATCTAGGTGACTTTTGCTTCAGTTTTAGTGAAATTGTGATTGATAAGATCTTTAAAAATCCTTCTGTAGATGAATATTTCAAATGATTTATTGTAGCAAGAGGAATTATTTGATTTAGTTATATTGATGGAAACTGGGATAGAAAAAGATTTAGTCAAATATGAGTATTTATGTTAAATGAAATGAATGATGAGAGGTAGTATTTTCAAAATCTTCTTTTGGGTGAATTTATTTCCTTAATGTTTTTTTGATAAGTTCTCTCTGAAACTCTTTGTTATATCTGATAGGAATGAGAAGAGATGGATAGTTTACGAGAGAAGGAAGAAGATTAATTAGATTTAATGATCTAACTGTTTATAACAGTTAGAGAAGGGCGGGAAAAACAATGTATAAATAGTTGTTTGTTTAGTTGGAGGGGGACTTTTGAGACTTTGATTGTTGACAGGCCTTAGACCTATGAAGGGGATTATGCCCCTGTATGTTGATTGTGCAGACTATTCTTTGTGAATAATACCAGATTCTTTTCATTCTTCTCGGTATCTTTGTTGTGAGAGGTTGAGAGGGAGTTCTTGATCAGGTTTCTTGATCAGGTTTCTTGTTCGGAAACCTATCAATTTCTCATTTTAATTTACATGTCTTTTGTAGCATTATTCAAAAGGCTTGCAATGCATTAGAAGTACTAAAAGAGGTCCTGGATGCTGTTGATGCTCAAAATCCTCAGGTGACTCCCAACCCGAGAGTGAGTTTTAGAATCTAAAAGTAATTCCATTCTAACTATTACTTTGTAATTGTTTTCTTTTGTAGGGAGCAAGGGATGAATTCACCCTTGACCTTGTAGAACAATGTTCTTTTCAAAAGCAAAGGGTTATGCATCTTGTGATGGCTTCTCGGTAGGCTGCTTCATCTTTCTCTTTATTAATTTCTTTCGATGCCTTTGCTTCTAGTGTATTGGTAGCTCTAATCTAAGATTTTTTGTTTGACACTAATCCTATACTAACTAGCGAACCCAAAATAGAAAGTTGAGTAAACTTTGTTAATATTGTTTAATAATATATACTCATACCAACTGTACCTTACACGTATTCAAAGCGGGCGAGACCAGAACCTTGGATGAACATGTGCATGTACTTATATGGGAAACCCACAATGGATATACATATACTCACAGAACATTTGTAGTTTTATTAAGAAAGAAGTCATTGAACATTTCTAGTCAGTAACTAATACTCAATGAGTTGAGTAGTTAATTATTCGTAGTCTAGAATAACCTTTAGCAAGAAGTTTTTTCCTTGTAATTTTCCAAATGTTTATATATTTGTGCATGCACAACCCAGTTATTTATTATCATTATATGGTTAATTTGTTCCTTAAACTGGTTTTGCATTGGTCTTTTGTAGAGATGAAAGGATAGTATCTCGGGCAATTGAATTGAATGAGCAACTTCAGAAAGTTCTCGCAAGACATGATGATCTTCTTGCTGGCAGAGCTACAGCAACAGCAACTCGGTTCAATCATGAGGAAGCAGAGGAAGAAGAGGAGCCTGAACAGTTAGTCCGAAGGTGCCTTCCCTGGCTTTGGAATTCAACTTATTACACTTTTGTAAAGTAGGATGATACTGAATATTCCAAATTCTTAATCTCTGTTTGGCTAATTCCTTGTAGATTACGTAAGGGAAAGGCTTGTGCAAGACCTGAAGATGAGGAGACAGAAACCGACAACCCTCCCTTGGGTTTACTTGGGGAGAGACTCAATCGTCCACTAATAAGACCACTCTCAATAGAGCCACAATTTCGAGATGCTGAAACTCGATCTCCACCTGTTGTGATCCCACCATCCCGTGAAGCAGACACTCGATCTCCGCCTGTTGTGATCCCACCACCACGGCCAAAACAGAATGGCGATGTTTCTAATCATGTGGCAATTCCACCACCACCTGCAAAGCATGTTGAGAGGGAGAAGTTTTTTCAGGAAAACAAGGATGGCTCTAATTTGTCTGGCCACATGAGAGGCCTCTCCTTGCATAGTCGTAATGGCAGCAGCTCTCAGAGTGGAAGCTTTGATTTTAGTGAATGATCTCTTCACAACCGAATCTTTATATTTTCTTTTCATTTTTGTCTACATTTGGAGTTGGTATTATTGAAGCTGTTGTGAGGAATTGGTGATTTCTCATTCAGTCTTGGTGAGTATGGAGATAGGAGGGAAACAAAAAGGGAAACCACATCTGCTTCAGTTTACAAATTACTTGTAATTATGTTATCTGATTATGTGCCGTGACCTGAGTTTGTGAGTTTCAGGTGCAAGTGTTATAACATTTTTTTTAACTTTCCCTGGTTTCTAGAAACTACAGTTTTTCTTCCCATGGAACCTTCTAAAAACCTTTAAACACAACTTTTACTTGTTCGTACATGTTTGCCTTTTTATTTAACTACGGCGAAACCTACATTCAAAACTAGCTACAATTGCTTGCTTTCGTTGCAGATTTGTCTTTAGATTTAATGTGTATATTTTTAGTTTCACGCCAGAAACTAGCTGTGATAATTGTAACTGATTAAATCGAAGTAAAACGTCCAATAAAATGGAAACTGGTCAAGTTAATTTTAATTTTTTAATTAAGTAGTAGTAAAATACTGAAAGCATAATAAGATAACTTTTTATATTATAACAAAATAAACATTTTTTAAAAGGTGATTTTTCTCTTAATACACCCTTAATGTGTCAGGCAGTGAAAGAGAAGCGAGGGAAGATGTCTCCATTATTTTTTATTTCCATTTCCGCTCCACTTTGTTCCTTGGTTTCAATTTATTATCCTCCAATCTTACTGTATGTAGCAACTTTAGTATCACCTTAACTAGTATTTTTTATAATTGAACTCGAGCAGAAACTTTAAACATTTGAAAGCCCTGCAGAAACTGTAACTTTACTAAAAAGACTGTTCATCTGTAAACGGTAGTGTTCATCATCAAAGCTTGTAGAGAGTTACTCAGATGAGGCGATATCCGTTTTTCCTAAACTTTCTTCGTTAAGTTTTGCTACATGTGATCAGTGCTTGTGTCTGGTCCAGGTGCAAAGAATTGAACAAGAATTTCATCACCTTTTACAGAATCTCTTCTGTTGATCTTGGCAAACATAACAGCTGCTAGTGTTCTCCGATGAGTTCCCACTTCACACAAGAATTTTTTATTGCCTCAACTGCTCATCATCTACAACAGCTTAGTAGTTTTCCAACTCATGTAAGTCAGTTTTCCACAATAGATACAAAAACAGTGTAGGATACAAATTTTCTCTCCCGTCTCAATCCTCAAATATAGTGCCTAAACTGCATTTGAGAACTCCTGGGTGCATGCCTTGGATCTGAGAAGCATATGATGCTTAAATTATTGAAATACAAGCAAAACTGAATGGATATAAATTGATCCACTGTCAAGACCTTTTTACACTACTCTAATCATGCATTAACACATTGTAAAGTGTAGCTTGACTATGATAAAAACTACTCGAAAACTGTGTTAAGAACATGATTTGACTGTAGTATAAAAAGCCATGTACTGACAAAGAATCAAAACTGAACCCAACTAAATCTTGTCTTTAGAGGGCACATGGTGATTCTTCATTCACCTAAGCGAGGGCCATATTCCGAATTGGTGCAGCAAACCCTTGTCTGTAGTGACTTCAAAAAACAAAAGAAGAAGCACAGCCAACATTGCTAATCTTCCATTCCAAGTTTCAGCACTTTTTGTCCAACCCCATTCCCACACTAAAACTGGTGGTGGCAACTCCTTGCGTTGTGTATCATATGCTGCCAATAACTCTTCTACACTGCCCAGTGGAACAAGGGACTGACAAAGAGCGCAAACTTTCAATCAGATTATAAGATGAAACTATATAGCTACAAAATAGATCATCAATAAATCTACGGAAAATTCTGTCAGTTTTCAATAATGCTTAAAAGAACACTGAATGAAATACTTCCACCATGAATATAATAATAAATAAAAATAATAACAACAGTCTTTTCTCATTTTGATTACATGAATCACAAAAAGCCGTGAGGTTCAGTTAAAAACTAAATTCTCAGGAGATACTTTTAATAATATTTTATAATTATTCTTAATAATATTCATTTACCACAATATCCCTTTTAATAATATTTTATAATTATTCTTAATCTTCCTTTACCTCCTTTTACAGGACTACAACTTATGTGACTCTTCACTGGTGCTTCCAGTGACATCTACCCGTTTTCCAGAAGCCATGCAGATTTTCATCTAGAATATGAAACATAAATTTATATGGGTGTTCAACAGAGTACCTGTCGAGCTTCAAGGTCTGAGGCTGCCAGGGCACCAACATATGGGAGACTCTCAATGACAGCATCTGCCAAATCAGAAATGAAAGTAGGTTCACATCCTAGAGCAGGAACACGCCCCCAATTTTGTATACCAGATTCTAGAGCCAATTCTTTGTATTCGACATCAATTTCTTCTAGAGTTTCAATGTGTTCACTGACAAAGCTGTGAATTAAGCCGGGGTTAACAATGTGCATGGGGAGAAGCAAAGAAAAGAGGTGGAGAAGATAAAGAAAGATAGGAGTAAACTAAAATAGTATATTTACCTAATTGGAACAGCCAGCAGACTTTTCACTCCCTTTTTTCCGAGTTCAATTATGGTCTCATCTGTATAGGGTCTTAACCATTCCACTGGTCCAACTCTACTCTGTAACAACATATTATATCCAACTGTTAGAAATCCAGAAAAAGAAATTCTAAACCTAAAAGAAGTGCCCAGATCTAGGGTATCAAAAGATGGCATGTTTTGAAGACAGACAGACGGACTAATTGTAAAGAAATTCTCCCAAGGAGCTTTCTTTATGGGAGCGTTGGTGAACATGACGATCTATTTTGAATATTATTGCCTAGCGAATCACTCAACTGAGAATTTCCAATTATGATTTGGGTGAGGGCAATATAACCGCATTTTAGTAGAAAATCTAAAAGAAAAAGTAATAGAAATCAGAACTTAGAGAGAATAAAGTGCTGAAAAACAAAAAGGAGTTACCTGATAAGCAAGGGTGTAGGCATTAGTTATCTTTCTCGTCTCGAGTTCTTCCATGATCAAATCCACACATTCCTCCATTTCAACCTTGTATGGATCACCAGCCTCTTCAACATAGGCCAGAGGCACCCCATGTGCACTGAAGAATATCATGACCTGCAACAAGCATGAATTACTTGGACTCATGCAAACACAGAAACAAGTGCAAATATGCTGGACTGAATAAACAAACACTGGATTCTGATTAAAGTATAGAAATGATCTGGTTTTTAAGCTAAATTTGAGTACATTGTAAACAAACAAAGGGTTTCCCCCTAGCGAGTTTCCTTCTCCAAAACACTGGAAATGACAATCTAACACCTTAATTTCTCTTTTTACAAGTCTATTACACAACTTATATACCACTATATTTACTAAATCATACCCTATGTCTCCCTAATCTGAAATTAATATTGAAATTATTGCCTCAACTTATTAATGCAGAATTGTAACAGCTTAAATCAGATTTTTACTTATCAATGCCTCCCAGTACAGAAGCAGCCTCATCCTTAAAGGCTTAAATAAGGAAACTGTTCTTTGCAGTTAAACATTTAAGTTTGGTTCTGATGTGAATCCAATGATGGGGACGCACCACTTTTCTGCAGTTTTTAATTAGTTTGTTTAAAAAATGACCCAATCCTTTGTAAAATTGGTTGACCAAATTATGTTTTGGGTTAATCAATTAATGGGATTTATTTTGGTTTTATTTTAGGTTGTAATAAGGGCCCAATTGGCCACTTAGTCATCAGCCTTTGAAAGACCAAAAAGATGCAAAGCTGAATGCTTTTGAGTGACTTTTGGTTGCCACATTTCAGTTACAATCAGCCTTTAACTCTTTTTTAATTTTAATAAGCTGAACCAATTTCGAAAAAAAAAAAAAAAAAACAAGTGAAGTTTTATGCAGAAATATTAGAGTTTTAACTCTTTTATCTCAGTGAGAGTAATTTCCTAAGTTCTTAAGTGATTCAAGAACCCTTGACTGTATTAAAGGACTTTCCCTTCCTTTGTGTGTTGCCTCCCTTGGAATGAGTGAGAGTAATTTCACAATTCTGTGCAGGTTGATCTCGTAGTAATAACTTTCGTTCTATGTGTTCAAATTAAGCGATTCTTGAGCCTAAATTGAAGTTTAGAACATGAATTTTCACCTCGTTTTGGAATCACCCGAATCGGAGTTTTATAGCTCAAGATATCAACGTTTCTAAAATAGTGTCAACCTTCTCTCTAATTTTCCAAATTTCCTACAAGGTTCAAATTCTAAAGATCCTAAAGCAATCGTTGTGCAAATGGGGTTCACATCATTTGGTATAAGAGCTTCGGCTCTGGGTTTGGAATGGTGTTGGAAGTTTTCTATACAAGGTGTTTAATTGAAGGTCACCCATGTTTAGTTGCATATGATTATGGAAGCACCAACAATGTTGTGAGCCAAAGATTGGTGGAGAAACTCCATTTACCAACAAGCTCTCATCTGAATCAAGCAGGGATCAGATTCACTACAGGGCAATGTGTGCAAGATATATTATGTGATATCGCTCCCATGGACTCTTGTCATCTTCTTTTAGGATGGTCATGACTTCGTTTCAAAACATTCATTCTTGATGAACACTTGCTTTATTTGAGGCATGAGGGGCATAAGTTGAAATTTATGACACCAGGACAAGTCACTAAGGATCAACATAGGCTAAAAGGAGAAAATAGAAAAATAAATAATAGAAAAAGTAAAAGAGAGTGAAGAAAGAATGAGAGAAAAAGAAAGAAGAAAAAAATGAAGAAAAAGAAAAAGAACTAGAGAAACACAACACGAAAAGTTTATTTGTCAATGATTTTTCTTCTACTATTTGTGGTGTCATTTACATGAACAAAAGGATGGGCACATGAATGAAATACACCAACTCCCATGTCTGGAAAGGAAGCTTTTCGTAGTGCTTTATTATGCATGTAGTCCCTTGATGAAATAGAGCACATGGAGTATGAAGGTGAGGGAGTGTTGGTAAGGGAGGTGCTCCACGGATTGCAACCATTTGAAAGGAACAAATCTATATTTATTCAAGTTGTATTTCATCCTAGAGGACGAGAATTAGTTTCAAGTTGTGAAAAAGTAAAGTCCTTTACAAGGACATAAACTTTTAATAAAACTAGTAGGAAAATAAAGCCTAAAGATACAGGTAGGATCTTCCCGAAGAAGGAGGGTATGATGTGAATCCAACCAATGATGGGAACATGCCACTTTGCTGCAATTTTAAAGTAAGTAGTTTGTTTAAATAATGGCTC